CCGGAGAACAGGTGCCGCCATCCCCCACCCGGGCATGGCAGATACCTACGGGTGACCAATCAAAAATTCTGCCAAACACAAACACTCACGTGTAAAAACTTACCCTTCCCAACTCTAACACCACCACAAACAACCCTACAAACAGCTAATGGCCATAGAATCCGGACTTAAGGATCAACAAAAAACAAATTAAAAAAATTAAAATTATTTTCTGTAATTTTCTTGATAAAATAATTTTGTAAATAATATATATATATTATGTTATACTAGATTAGATAAGCATAATATTATATGACCTTAAATTTCTATTTGATATAAAAAAATTAATATTTGTTAAATTATTTATTGTGAAATTATGTAGGTATTTAAAAATTTAATATTCATGTAGAGTAAAATAGGTATAGACACTGTACATTACGATGGAAGTTTAATAAAATTGTTTATTATAATAGTTTAGGAAATTAGAAAGAACGCAGTCACTCTTTATATGATCCACATATTAATTAAAAGCATATTAAATTTTTTTAAACAGAGTTAAGTTAATATTTTTAATTATTTTTAATTTCATATTAACTTTTAACTTATCAAGTTAAAGTACGTTTTGTTAACTGTTGACTTATCGACCTTGTGTCCACTTAACTTAAGTTAATTAACTTAGATTGAGTTAATTATTTCCATTATATCCATCTTTGACCTCTGACAATACCAGTATCAACAAAATATGTTATGATCAATTTTAAAATGTACCTAGTTTTATAAATTCATATTTAATTCGACTTATAACACCCCACTAAAATTATCTCAAAATTCCCAAAATAAATAAAAGTATTATTTATTTCTAAACATTTTACTGCAAATATAGTTTAATTAAATATATTTCCAAACAAGGAATAAATTAAAAACTTTTTTTTTGTATACTTTTAGAGTGTGAAGATTCGATATTGGGCTATAAATTCAGTAATTTTTTTTAAACTAATTAAACAATTTAATGATGAAAATGTGTTAAATAACAATATAAAAACAAAACCAATTTGTCAATTCAATAATGATTAATCATATAAAATTAAAAGTTACATAAATGTTATCATGATTGACACGAAAACACAAAAATTATCAAATTAAGTTGACTGTTTTTAGAAAATAATATTTATTAAAGAATAGATGGCCATTTCAAATTTCTATAATCAATAGTTTTTTAATTACCTACCTACTTAATAAAATTAGATTTTTGAAAAACTGTTGTTGGCACTGTTTAAATTTTATTAGTGATTTATTGTATTTTAAATCGTTATGATTGTATGCAATTTTTAAGAATAAGCTATTTAAATGGCTGTAGTCAATTTGCACCAAAATTGACCCAAAATATATAAAAACATGTGTAATTTGCACCATTTTTTTTAAAATGTGTTTGTAATTTGCACAAAAATAAGGGTAAGTAATCTGCACCACCCTCAGGTAGTAAGAAATAGGAATTGTAATTTGCACCAAAATTAAAATCGATTATTTTTTCGATAGTATACAAAAAAAATTGGTCGATAGTACCAACTTACAAGTTTCTATATCCTAATATAACTTAAGCTTAGTTTTTATCTATAAAATAGCTGGTCAAATGTTCACCTGTAGTAAACAATTTTGATGAACATTTTCTCTGTGTACAACGACAACGAATTATATTTGTAGTTTTTGTTTTATACGCAAAATAAAAAGTATGGTTATCGTATTCTAAAATATCTTCCCCGCGATTACTTTTAATTACCTAACTTAATTTCCATATTTCAAGAAAAAAATTAAATATTTCAATAAAAAATGTTACGTTAAATTACGTATTACGACGAAACAGCAAGACTAAACGTAGCTTAGTAGGTATTTGATCAAAATAATAAACTGATATACGCATTATATAAATATAATATATTATATAACGCGATATAACGCGATTACGACCGACAATTGGACGTAAAACGTCAAAATATTATCAGATAAGGTGAAAAATCCCGAAAAATTATTATTGTCATTCGTGTTCATCTAGTCTTGACGTCGCGTCAACGAGAATATCGAGTAATAACACTATCGATACTAATGATACTATCGAAAAAATAATCGATTTTAATTTTGGTGCAAATTACAATTCCTATTTCTTACTACCTGAGGGTGGTGCAAATTACATACCGTTATTTTGGTGCAAATTACAAACACTACTTTCGACTACCTGGAGTGGTGCAAATTACATTTCTTTAATTTGGTGCAAATTACAAACTCCCATTTAAATTGTATACAATTTTAAATTTTAAACGTAACGTATCAGTAAATATATGCTTAATCTAAATTATATAAAAATTATATTATCTTATTCAAAATTGATTATAATATAGGTACTTACGTACACTAACATTTACTGTTAAAATCTTCATTCAATATAATTTTGTTTGTATTAACATTGATATTTCATAAAATATACATTTTTAAACAGAATTTGATGGTGTAGAGCAGAATGTGTATGATAGTGAGTATGAAATGATTTGACAAAAAAAAATCATATTCTAGAAATTAGAGATCTAAATAACACGAATTTAACTATAACTAAGATATATTATAATTCTCTGAGCTATGACTCACCAACACTCCAAGTTTTGAATCGTCATATAATATGTGATATTTGTGAAATATGCAGTAGATCCTTTCAACTTAGAATGTACCTAATAATATTACATAATATTATGTAATCAGTTACTGAATAATATCTACTGGTAAATCGTTGGATATATCATTGCAATTTGAATTTACCATTTCGGTGAGATTTACGTTAATTGTCTATTATATCACGTATTATCGGTACGAAAAGAAAAATATTTCATTTATGATACTATTCAGTGTGTTTAGTGTTGTGCTAAATTGTAGTGACGAAAATATTTCTGATTTAATTTAATTTAATAATTAATCCCGAAATCATTACTTTGGATTCTATTACAAAAGTGTGAATTCGTGACTAAAAGGTACTAATAATTTACTCAATCGCATCAAATGCAGAAGCGATAATACCAATAAGATGTACGTAAGATAAAAGTTTTGCTTGATGATTTCAGTCGTATAGGTAGGTACACTACACAAGTAATTTGAAATTGTAGTTGCTCATCATTGAATTACTTGGCACTCTGCCAATATTGAACATTTTTTGTGGTTACAAAAAAAATATTCTGGTTAAATATCGTTAATTGTCTTTAAATATTAAGAGAAATTCGTAAAAACTTGGAATACTAGCTTCGAGTTGTTAATTTTATGCAATAGATTTTTTTAAATATGTATGTTATAAAAAGTTTAATGGTAAAGTATAAATTTGTACCTAAACAATCCAGTATTTAAAGTAAAGAAATGCTACTAACATTTTATACATTTAGTCATAAATAAACTTAATTCTGAAATGTAAATAATAGTTGAATAAGACGAGTACCTACTATAAATTTATATATATATCTAATAATAAAATATATATTATGTGTATTTATTAGAGAACAACCGATACAGAAATTTCTTAAAGTCATTTAGTATAGGTAAGAAAACTAATGAGGTTTTACTCATTTATTATAAATATGGCTGAGGTTAAGGTAAAAAATAACTAATGAAAAAAATCATTGAATTGTTTCAAATGCGTCAAAAATAAAGAAAACAATATATCAAATGATTTTTATTTTTAAGATATATGAATATTTTACTTTAGAATATACAGCCCTTGTAGACATAAACAAGACAGGTTTATATATTATTTACAAACAAAACAAAAGAGCTAACTAAAAGTGGCTAAAAAATAAAAGTGGGTTAAAAATCGGCATTATGCAACATAGATACGTCTAAGAGACTCATTTAACAGTAAGTTTGTGGAACAGTCATATTAATTATGGAAAGTAAAGTCAAGGAATCAACCCTAGCATAAAGCACTCCTTTTAAGAAGTTATCACCCATAATTGCGCCTGAGGTCTTCCAGTGAGGCTAAATCTATTTAAATAGGAACTGTAGAGTAATCATGTAGTGGAAATTTGATTACCAAAAGGTGGTTAGCAAATCTGCTATTCGGTTCTGGACTGCAATTTAGATAAACAGACAAGTGGTCGGTATACAAATTTACCCGATTTATTATCATTTATCACTAATCAGTGAAATGTCTGCTGTTTCCGTTATGCAATGTTTGTATCTTGGATGTATGACCTTCCGTTTTACACTTTTTAGAGTAAACTGTACAGTTAAAAGAACGAGGTCCTGCATTTTTTGGTTTTGATTCATCTGTTATAAAATCCAAAATTTACTAGTAGGTACTATTGGTAACCTACCTCTTGTCTGTATCTACCCTTCATTAAAATTTGTGTTTATCGTTGAGGTACCGTTCTGTCCAGTGGCGCATTTAGAATATAATATGCGAAATTATTTTATTGCCGCCCCCCCCCCTTCTGGTCGCTACTCATTACAACCTCAGACCTACCATAGGGTTTAACAGTATACAATTTCAAAAGGTTTATTCAATGAAAAAATCATACCAAATACTTAATGACATAAGTCAATTTTTATTTATTTTATTAAACAGTTTAATTACAATTTTTTTCTTGCCTTTTGGTTGGCAAATTCATCAATAATGTCATCATATTGGAGTTCATTTGTCAACTTGGATTCTATATTGAGCATGGCTAAGGAGTTTAACTGTTCCATTCCAATTGTAGACCGTAGATAATTTTTGACTCTTAAGAGCAGAAAATGATCTCTCTGCAGAACAATGAAGATGGAGTACATAATAGCATCCTAAGAGGTCCCTGGGACTATTTTCTTCATTTTTTTTAAACTTAGTATGTGTGCTCTGAAGTGGACACATTCATTTGGAAAAGTTTTCCTAAGATCATCCTTATATATTTGCTGTAGAACTGCAGCCTTTTCTCTTACCTCCACAGTAGTAATTTCCGTAATACAAAATAAAAACTGGTATTTCTTGTTTAACTCATCATATGCATTTTTTCTTTTTATGAGCTCAGCCTGAATTCTATCCAAGATAGCCAGATAAGTGGTGACTTTAAAATCAATTGCATTGCTATCATCTGTAGCTGGACCATCATCAATAAATGTTTTTCTATTCTTTGTTCGTTTCTTTGTACTTCAAAGTCTTCAATTCCCCACTTTTCAATCGCTAACTTTTTGTAGTATTCATATTCACTATCTGTTCGTAAGTCATTCACATAACAAACCAATGATTGATATATTTCAGCAATTTTAACCAAATCCATATCAACAGATTGTAATCTTTTGCTACTTAAATTAAAACGTTCAAGCAGATGGCCCCATAATAGAGACATGAAAGCAGTTTCTAAAGATCTTTAAAAAAAAGCTGGCTTTTGAGATTTATCATTTTTTAAATTTTCTAGAGCATTAATAATTAATTTCCAATTATTATTCAATGATTTACATGCGTCATCTCTAGCAGACCACCTAGTGTCTGATAAACTTTTAACAGATGACTTTAAAATATCCCAACGGTATGTTGATGCTAAAAAAAATGTATAGAGTTTTTGGAGCAAGTCAAAAAACATCACTGCATTTTTACAAGAACTAGCAGCATTTGTGCCTACTAAGTTAAGAGAGTGAGCTGAACAGGGTACAAATTGCGCAAGTGGACTAACAGCTTTAATCTTGGCTTGCAGACCAGAATAAATGCCAGACATATTGCTGGCATTATCGTAAGATTGTCCTCTTAAGTTAGAAATGTCCAAATTAAAACTTTCAATTGTTGAAAGAACCACTCCAGCCATTTGTTCAGCTTTATGGCCAACATTATGTAAGAAGCATAAAAATCATTCCACTGGTTTTCTATTATCATCAATATATCGTATAATTAATGAGAATTGATCAATATGACTAATGTCTGGAGTTGAATCTACACTGATAGAGAAGTATTTTGCATTCTTAATTTCTTGTATAATTATGTTCTTTACCTTGTTTGACATAATAATAATAAACTGTTCATAATATGTATGATACGAAATATATGAAACTTTTCCCTTTCCTGAACCACCATATTTTTTTAAATGATCAGATAGAAATGGATCAAATTCGGAAATTAGTTCAAGTCCCATCAAAAAATTGCCATTATGGGGACTACCTATATTAGAGTCGTGACCACGGAATGGTAATCCTCTACAAGATAGGGATTTTACTACGGCTACAACTCTTTTCAAAACATTTATCCAATATGTTCTCTCATTTTCAATCTGTTGAATCAATTGTTGATTAATAACATTTTTACTCTTTCCACGGTCGTTCATAAGTAACATATTTGATCGATGCTTTGGTGAGTTATGATGCTCTTCAATGCGTTGTTCTGCTTTTTTCCAATTTGAAAAAACCTTTTGAAGAAAACACAGATATGCCACCAAACAACAAACATGGAACGCAAAAAAACTGCTCCTTTACTTTCAGAGTATACCAGATAGTGATGCTTTATTTTTTCACCATTTTTCAGAGTAGTCTGTAGATAACTTGTACTAAAATATCTAAATAAAGGCAGTTATACAATTTCCATGATGAATTAAGTTTTTTTTAAACTTCAAGCTATAAAATAATGTAATAAATAATTTAACAATTATTACTTTGACGTTTAGCTTTAAACAAATCTTCAATATTTCTACATTTATCAAGAACAGCCTTATTTTTTGCTTGCTTTATTTGTTTTGCCTTTCTGCAAGCTGCACCACTCAGTCTTTTACGACCATCCATGATGATTGATGACTAAAATCCTAATAACTAACAAGCTAAAGCAATAAGCAATAAGCATTACATGCAATTTATTCTAAAATCATCTATAACTATGCAAGCAAGAGTAATATGGTATTTTGTATTTCAACTTACTGGGTATGTTTTGTAAAATAACACCAACATAGCAGCACGCGAGTATGACGATTATGTAGGTACTATAAAAACCACAAAAATTGAGTATATGTGTTTATGACGTATTATATAAAAATTATACCTTCAATTTTGAATTCTAAACGGCTTGAATTCGTTTAGTAATAAATAATAATTCGTTTTATACGTTATCAGTCGACAATCATACATTCATATCACAATATCTGCACATTCAACTCAAAATGATTTGATACGATAATCCATTATCACAAAATCGTTATCATAAAATATTATACCTTATACAATTTATATACGTTAAACAATGTTATATTATATTATTTTGTGATACAAAAAAAAATAAAAAATACACTCGATAAAACTGCCGCCCCTAAAACTCTTAAATATTTGACGCTGGGGCATTCGCCCCCTTCACCCCCCCCCCCTTAAATGCGCCACTGATTCTGTCCGTTTCGCTCTTTATCCACAGGAATGAATCCACTTAATATAAACATGATTCCACATTCATTCGGACTCGGATTGCTCATTGAAGATGTAGATGTTTGGAAATAATAAGACAATCTTTGGAAAACCGAAACACACTTATAATACCACTTATCACTTACATTTAAACTGAGTCAAAGTTATCGCTGTCGTCTACGGCGGCCATACCGGTTTTTGGTCGCTCTATCGCTGACGTCCACTAAGAAGCGACGTTGCGACAACCCCCCCCCCCCCCCATCAGCATAACTGTTCATCAAAATGGCAGGTGGTATACTTTAAATTGGTGCAATTGTGGTTTGAACTTTAAGAACCACTTCACTTATGTAAAAACTAGCTATAATATTATACCAATGATCATAAATACTATGTATTGATCACTGGACAATATTTACGAAAAATGGATATGGCTGTTATGAAAACTGCCATGGCCCATTAGTTAACTATGGTTGACAACGGGCCAGTGATCGATCTATTGTATTTATAATCAATGATTATACTAATGATTATTAACACTTAAAAATTGTTTCTTTAGCTGCTTCTACTACATATTATTTAGGTAAAAACAAAGTATGGACTGAATTATATTTTATATTGTTCTATTTTAGTTTCCAGACGCGTAAATATACCTATTTTAGCGTCATGTGCATATGTGATTGGTGCAAAAATTAACTAACAAATCGTATTCTTATATAATTAAAATTGTTATAATTATAAATTTAGTTGAATTTGCCCAATCACAAATTTATGTGTGCAAAAATGTTGTTATCTACCAATTTTAGAACGCTTAGAATGGAAGCCCGGAGCTCATATTCATTAATTGAAGTCATGGTATATCATACTTCCACCATAGCAAATATAATTATAAAAGTGAATCTTTAATATTTGATTTTTATCTATGTTTATTCTAGATGTCCTTTGATTATTTGTATAAGGATCTAAAATATCACAACATTAAAAAATACTTATATATCACAGAAAAATTAAATAATCCTCAAAAAATCCAACGCATAAACACAGATATAGATATTGCTTTCACTTGAAGTTTTATAATAGGTTCTAATATTGAATTCAACTTCATTACATTGATGCTTATGGATGAAAATATGGTATATTGCTGGTTAGTTGAAGAAAGAAAATACAATTTGACATAAACAATGGCTTTGCAATAACTGCCAACTTGTTAAAAAATAACAATACATATTAGTTGATACAATGATTACAATAAGAGTTTAAAAATCATTTATAAGCTGAACATATTTTAATAACATATTTTATAATAATTATATATTGTTACAGATAAGGAAGCAGTAACATCGGAAATGAGTTGTAAATTATTTTGGGCATTATTTTTCAATATACCTATAAGCACATATCCTTAAAGAATTTATTTAAAGTGTTCAGTTTTTTTGGAATAAAATATTATAGAATCTTTTTTTTAATTTTTCATCACGTGGTGATATAAACAGTAACAGCAGCAGTCACTTATCACAATACAAATTTCCACAAACGGACCTTATTTATTTTAGTATTTTTAATATTTAAAAAAACTACTAAATATTATATTAAAATGCAGATACTTTTATCATCTTTAGCACGAAAATCACACATTCATACTGAAATCTTACACCAAAAATAAAATGCTTAGATTGGTAAACCATTGTGTAAAGCGTGCTACTTCTATATGTGTAGATAAGGGACAAGTGCGAATTAAGATAAGGGATCTTTTGAACCAATTGTTGAGATTAGAGATACTGGATCAACCGGGCCAATACATGATAGTTACATATTTAATATTCGACAAGCAATAATTTAAAATTAGTATTTTTATAAAGTATTGGAAGGGGTCGAATTACCAAGTCTACAGAATCCACCCCACATCTAGTTTTTGAAACCACACCTAAATAAAACCATTTAAATTACTAAAGTTAGTATGTAAATAATATTAATATTATATTATATACTAAATATAGGAAAAATAATTTATAAATTCCAATTTTTGGATCTTGAGAAATTCAATCAACAATTTAGTTTTTAAAACAAAATATAAAACCTAACCTTGAATAAATAAAAACATTATACAGTAAACATTTTAAATTCTGTGCGAAGCGATTAAGGTATAGTGATTTTACAATAGTGTTTATTTTTTTTTTATACAAAATTTCGACCAAAAAGAGGCCTTCGATTTCATCATATAATATCGTATCTTTTAGGAAACTGCATCAAGATGGTCCTTTAGAGAAGTCATTTTTCGATTTTCTCAATAATTATTTAATGTCAAGGGAAAAAACCACCGACTTATTACGAAAAATTGCTAAAAACGAGATTTTAATTTCTAATGCTTTGTCTATCCCCATAGAAACGAATTAAAAATTGTGACAAATTTAGAAATATTAATTAAACTTACAGGCTATAATAAATAATAACAATAAAAAATATCCCGACTGACCAACAGTCTCCACTCAGAATCGTTTTATGTATACGATAATGATATTATATTATAACATTGAATTCAAATTTAATACAATCCATTAAACAGTGGCCCACTTGTAACCTATCTTATAGCAAAACGATACTCACTGATCCCCTTTTTTTATTTTAGATTATACAGTGGAATATTTCTATTATCATGCACAATTGGCTGCTGTCAATACTTATTATAGTACGTATTCTAGTGAACACTAATTAATGATAATATTTCTTAGTATTCAGTTAAATGATATAAAAACGATACCGTGTAATAGTATACTTGGCCTACATTGTATAATTTTCTTGGAATAAGCTCACAGTGATTTGCGCCCGATAAGTAATAAATGGGTGTTAAATATAGGTATTATAAAAAAAAATTATAGGTAGAACCAACCAGTATAACGAACTATATAGAAACTGATATACTATCAATCCTCATTAATATGTATGTAGGCATGTAGCAATGCAATTCGAAATGAAATTATCACCTCTGCAGTGAAAGACAGTGGAAATTAAATTTTAATACATATTTGAATAACGTGTAAGTTACTGCACTAACAAAAGTCTACAAACAACTATTCACACTACAGAGAACGATGAAAAACCAATAATATAAAATAATCAATTAGGTTAATATGTAAAGGAATATGCTAATGTCAATATCATTATAATATAAGATACCTATTAATTTGTGAAAGCCAAATAGATGCTCTAAATATATTGCTCAATTAAAAAAGGATGACTACGACTTTGTAAAAATATTAAAGACTGAAACTGAAAAACATAATAACAATGAGCGCTGATCATGTTGTCGTTTATTAAAATGATTACGGTCGGAGTGAACCACTTGCATAGTTGAATGCAATGAATTACGTATCCACGTATTGGGTTTTTGACTCAAGATGTATGGGTATGTAACCAATCAGGGATGACCTGCGCAGTGTGCATCAATGGAATCAAGAGATAAGTCGATAGGCATGAGCAGTGGTGTAGGGGAGGGTACAAGACCACCACCTTCTAATTTTATATTCATGCATTTACCCAAATTGTGGTACTCAAGTTATTTTTTACAACGATTGAGGCGTGTACCCCTAAACTTTTTTAGGACTACATCATTGGGAACGAGTGCGCACTATCACGCCGATGGCCAAACACGAAAATATAAACTCAAGGCATGGAATTACATGGTGACTAGTATAGAGATAACAGAAGATACCAGAGGAAGATTTGCTGAGCCACGAGTGACAGACGTTGGTGGACTTGGCATCACAACTCACACGTAACAGTGACTGTCGACGACGAAGACGATTGTCATGGGGTGACATCCTGATAATCTGAGTATTACGATCAATCATGTGCGTAGCCTCACGCCTAACGATCCAAACTTTTAGGGTACTGACACAGTGGATGAGACCATGTCTTTAATAATATAAAATATGGGTGTGGATCATTATATCAGTCAGTACACTTTTGGACAGTGGTTCAACAAGCACTAGGACCTACAACTACCACCGAAAATCTTTCGAACTCGAGTCACAACCAAACAAAAACAGTAGAGGACTGTCCGGAACAATATTTAAAAACCATATCCTACTATATCTTAACTAACGTATAACTATATCTTAACACTGGTGATATTATTATGTAGTTACAGAATCATTATAATGTATCAACTACCGTGGACATTATATACCTAACATTATGTACATGTCCATCTAAATCAAGTACTGATTAACCAAGTTTACTCCACAATAGATATGGAGTAAAAAAATTATCCTTTATTACCCTGGCTTAGGGCTGATGGTATTGAAAATAATTTTCGGTATTACGGTATTGATTTCAATAATGGTTTGAAACGGTATACCGAAAACCGAAATGTTCGGTATACCGAACCAAATGATTCG